GCCCAGTGGGACAGTAATGTGCTTATGATATGGAGACTTGAGACTTCAATAACAAAACTTAAAAAAAAAATAGTTGTAACAAACATATCTCTGGAATATTTTCTCCAAATCTATTTTAGCTCTAGTTGTTTACCTTGAATTTATGATAGTTTTCTTGCTTTGCACATGACCCATGGAGGAAATAGGATTGCCAATAAAATTCTGTTACTATGGAGTGAAATATACTACTAACAGACAAGGTTATAATTTTTAATTTTGAATAGCCCTGATTAAATTTATATTCTGCTTTCATGAAATTAATATTTGATCTGTATGATAGAAATGTGCTAATTCAATATTTACTGTGTAAAAATTATGCGAAAAACTTTCTGAAGCATGTTTGAGGCATATTAGTAGGTATTATAAATAGTTCAACAAATTTTCTTATGCATTTTCTACATCTGCAGCAGTAATCAGGCTTAATTCTAGTTATCGGTATGTAAGAAACACATTTCATTGTTCACACTAGTTAATGAACTAGTACATCTGCGAAACTGACAGATGTTGATGTCAGTAATGACTTGATATTTAGACAGGAGATGTTCTGTTACTAAAGGATCATGCAATTAAGTCAGTTAAAAGTTTAGTATTCTTTTAGAGATGAAATGTTTAAGGTTTCTTATAAGACACTTTTAAAAAAACTTAATTTCATCTGGTAGTTGTAAATATATATTATATTTTGGAAGCAGAAGTCGTCTATCCACAACCTGGGCAGCATGGTGAACTTACAAGCAATACTACCACCTTACTGAAATAAGATGGCCTGTCATTGTCTTTCTGTTAATCTGACACATGGATCATCTGCTGAGGTTTTTATGAGTCATATCACCTCAACCCAAATGTGGTGATGGAATCTCTTTGACCAAAGTATTTAGTCACCTGTTGCGCACAATAGCTTACCGCTTAGAAATATGCTGTTGAATGTAGGCCAGTGTCCAGATTTTGCGGCTTTGGTTTGGTTAACATAGTTGCAAGGCATTATGCTGCCCCACGTTCTTTCATAATCAAACTATAAGTCATCTACACAATTATTTTGTCTTAGATTTGAAAAAATACAGAGAAAGAATGGGGTAGCATATAATATTCTGAGAGACTAAAGCAGCCATATATTCCAATCAGATGCTTTTAAAATAAAATAGTTTTTTTTTCTTTTTGTAATAATATCACGTACTCATTATAGGAGATTCAAATATCAGAGAAAGGTACAAAGAAGGAAGTAAAAATTCTCTCAAATACCACTCTCCATTTTCCTGTGAAAACTCTCATCAATGTTTTCTAGAACATCTTTCCATACTCCATTTGTGTATATGTGTGTTAGAATCAACTCAGTGACAGTGGGTTTGGTTTTAGTCTTGGTATATGGCATAAAAGGTATTCTGTGTATGGCATTCTGCTTTTGACACTCCAGATATGTTATGGAGGATTTTCCAAATCAAACAATATAAATATATAATATCCATTATAATTTAGTTAACCAGGTTTAGACATGTTGATGGGCATTTAGGATTTTTCCTTTTTAAAAAAATTTTGGTTGTAAGAAATTTGTCAGATATATTTCTATAAAGAGAATTGGTTAGTCAGAGCCAGGGGTAGATTATCCATTAGGCAAGGTAAGTGTGGTGCTTACCTTGCTTACCTGATCATTTGTAGTGAACAATTTTCACCACATCAAAGATTCTGCTCCTAGGTATGGCTGGCATCTCTCTCTGCTAACCTCATAGCACCTTCTTACAGAATCAAAGCAGCTTTTCAAATTTACAATCCGTAACTGTGGCAGTTGACCCAGTAAGCAAGGTAAGCTCAGGCTTACTTGTGCTTACTTATTAGTCTGTAGTAAACAATGTCACACGGGTTTCACTAGACATCTTTTAATAATCATTTCAACATGTCCAAAACTGAACTCCTTATCTTTCACTCAGGCTTGTTTCTTGCCTGGTCTTTATTTCATCAGTGACTAATCTGTCCTTCCATTTGCTCATGTCACAAATCTTGGATCATGCTTGCTTCTTTCTTTCTGCATCTCATGCTCCATATCCAAATCCATCCTCAAAACCTGTTCACTTTCATCCTGTATCCAGAATCCTGCTACTTCACTTGTGTGGTTCTCATCCTGGTGTAAGCCATTGCCGTCTCTTGCTTGGTTTATTGTATTGCTTCTCTGCTTTCTCTGCTTCCTCTTGTCCACCTACATCCTGTTCTCAGTGAAGCCACCCTAGCATCCTGTTAAATGACATGTGGATCATGTTGCTCATCTGCTTTGAGATGAGTCTTTGAGAGTAAAAATTAAAAATTAAAAAAAAAAAATTGCTACAGTGGCCATCCAGGCCCTGCATGATCTGCTTCTCTTCCCCACTTTTCCCCATTTCTCTGACCTCATCACGTCACCTCTTCGCCTCTTCCGCTTGGCTCCAACCACACTAGCCTTCCTTGTATTTTCTGCCTAGATCACCTAGATACGTGCCCTCACCTAGATACCAGCCCTTACTCCCTCACCGCGTCAGTTCTTCTCTCAAACATCTTCTCAGCTAGAATTTCCGTGACCACCTATTTAAGAATGTTACTTTGTCCTCTGCAACACTTGCTGTCCTTTTTCCCTGCTTTGTTTTTCCCCATTGCATCTCTTCCTAATATAATGCATGTTTTATTGTTTGTTTATTGCCCATCTCTCTCCACTAGCATAAAAAGTTCCATGATCGTAGGCACTTGGTCTCTCTTGTTGACTGATATATCCCCAGCATCTAAAATAGGACTGGCACACAGTGGACTGAAGTGCATAGCATAGACTCACACACAGTAAACTGGCAAGTGAATTTGGGCGAGTGCTGTTCAGAGGGGAGTCCTTTGTTTTTCAATTTTATTTGGAGTTGTATCTTTTTTAATGTTACGTAACTGTTTATAGTCTCCGTATTAAACTTTTGTTTTACGTAGTGAATATCGGTAAACACTTGCATTACAATTTTGAATTTGATTCTTTCTCATTAGAATGTCTCAGTTTCTGCCTGCCTAGAAAGGCTTTCCCACCCAAGAATTATTTAAGAATTCACTCATATTTTCTCCTAGTTATTTATTTCTTTATTTTTCACTTTTAAAACACCACCTGAATTGATCTGGAATTTCTTTTATTGTAAGGAGTGAGGAGTGGGCCCATTTTCCTAAGTGTCTCAACATTTGGCTCAAAACCATTTACTAAAATTTCCACTGTTCTTCCACCAATTTGAAATGGCATATTATCTATCCTATACTAGATGTTCATGTATTTTATGAAATGAAAGAAATCGACTCGTTTTTCTGTTTTTTTGATCAGCTTATTCCTGTGCTGTCATACTATTTTAGTTTCTGTGGCTAACTAGCACTTTTGAACATATGCGGTTTATTTTGATTATTAAATATCTTTCCCCCATCTTTTCTCATAATTGAAAACAAGCATGATAATCCCTTTCTCACTATCATTATGTTAATAGATAATGCTTGTAGCTTGAATATTGTAATGTCCATTAAGCTAAGAAAGCATGTAAATCTATATGCTCTGAATAAAGTGACTTTCCTTTATATTATCCTCTTTATATTTATACCACTGTTGTAAAAGAAAAGTTCTATGATTTATTTTATTGTGATATGAAAGCATAGTTCAATTTTGCTGGTTTTTTAAACATTTATAAGCCTTGTTTTCTTGCCAACTGTGGTTAAAGTAAGATTTTATTTGCTATACTGACATGTAGTGAAAAACGGGGTGTGAACAACCTTACCAGGTTTGTTTTGTTGTTACTTGTGTGTTTTAGATGTAGCCAGTGGTTGTCCTTGGCTTCTCGTTTATCAGTATATTTTTGTTTGTCACGTACCGTAGTGCTTAGGAGTGCTGCGTCTGTACTCTTTGACAAATTATTTAACTTTTTTTTTTTAAATAATACTGTTTTTTGGTGAAGGTTTATATAGCAGGTTAGGTTCCCATTCAACAATTTCTATACAGATTGTTCAGTGACACTGGTTACATTCTTCTCAGTGCATGAACATTCTCATTATTTCTGTTCTGGTTGTTCCATTTCCATTAATCTAGTTTCCTTGCCACCTTACATTCTCTCTCTCTTTTTTTTTTTCTTTTTAACTGTACTTTAGATGAAGGTTGACAGAACAAACTAGCTTCTCATTAAACAATTAGTATGCATGTTGTTTGGTGACATTGGTTGCCAATCCCACAGCATGTCAACACTCTCCCCTTCTTGACCTTGGGTTCCCTATTACCCGCTTTCCTCTCGCCTCCTGCCTTCTTGTCCTTGCCCCTGGGCTGGTGTGCCCATTTTGAGCCTTAGTGTTCTTATATGTAAAACAAGTGAAATAATAGTATTTTATTCCTAGAGCTACTGTTAGAATTAAATGAAATAATTTATGTAGAATGTTTAGGATAGCACTGGCACAAAATAAGTATTTAATGAATGTTACATTACTGTTTAATGTGAGTAAATGCTCTAGTCTAATTTAGGGACAAAAGCAGCACCCAGGACTAACAATTATTTGAAATTATTCTGTGAAGTTGAGAAAAAGGGTGGAAACAGTCTCAATTTTAACAGTTTTCTTCCTTTATGCTGAAAATGTGGTACCCACGTATCTAAAGCTTGTCCAGTGATGGAGGAGTTTAGACTTTTGAGAAATGCCATACCATTTCATTCTGCAAAGTAGATCCTGAGAAGTTGTATCCAGATTACCGTTTCGAAGTAAGAGGAACAATTCTCTTTACTATTTATCAAATTTTTATTTAATGCAAAAATTTTAAAATGTAGTTTGTCACCAGTGAACACAGCATATTTGTTTTACCAGGTTGCAGTGGGAAAACGTCACCAGAAGAAACAGGAGATTGTCTACCTTCCTTTCTTTCCTCTTTCACGTCATGAAACCAAGAAGCTCAAATGATTGTAAAGTCTAACTCATTCTTGATCCTCCTGAATTACGGTTTCTTTCATCTGCAGACCCACTCTGAAGAGAGACCATTCCAATGTGAGGAATGTAAAGCTTTGTTCCGGACCCCATTTTCTTTGCAGAGACACCTGCTAATACATAACAGTAAGTCCCGGTTCAGGCAATTGAGGACAAAAAGAGTTATCTCCCACTTTGTTCTCTCGTAGTCTTTGAGAATACAATACAGGCATCATGATAGTGTCTTTCACTTTCTTTTCATTTATCATTACTTTATTTTCCCAGATTAAGATTAATTATTTTATGAGACGTTTTATATTACAGCGTTTATTCCCATTTTCTAAAGTTGGTATTTGAAAATATTTCCTAAGTTCAATAAGGTATCTCTGAGCTTTGTTTTGAAACAGACATTTTATTCCCTTTTAAATTTAAAGTTTCAGGAAATGTGTGACTTCTCAAAATGTTCATGTTTGGCAAGGTTTATTAGCTCACAGACTTTTTTAATGTTAGAAAATACCAGGGTACACATCGAATTTAATCCCTTAACTTGAGAGGAATTGAGAAGATGGATTCTGGGAGAAGTACTCAGGGTTTCCCAGTGCTGGGGTAATGTGAAGGTCTCAGATAGCCAGGCGCTTTTCCTACTTACCACACTGCGTTTGATTTCTTACTTCCCGTAGGGCATTTTTTTTTCCCTTTTGGTTAAGTTCTACATAAATACACCATGAAAATTTATCTAGCAGTTACTTCAGAGCTATTTTTAGAATACCACAGAATTTATAGACATATTGCTGAGGGACATCACTTTATTGAGGAGCAGAAAATGTTATTGCTAAGCCAAATTTTAAAAATGGGTTCTCTGCCTATGACTCTCTCATTGAGATATTGAAGTAACCAAAGATTTACCTCACTCCTGTGTCCTAAAAATTAAACAGTTGTATAAAATGAGTAATATTTATATTTCTTACTTTTGAGTTGTTTAATCATTAGCATATCCTCTATACCAAAAAGTCCCTGCTGCTGCTTAAATTTTTAATGTTTCTGAGGAAAACACAACAATCACTCAGTCTTGACAACTGGTTGTATAGAGTATTAGAGGCTCAGGTCAAATTATAGTGTCTAAAATATAAAATAATAAGGTTATTAAGGTTTTTATGAATACTGAGTGATAATGATTATGATGAAATTAACTCTGCTTCCTGTAGAGAAAGATACAGTGTTGGGATTTCATATTGTTCTCCCTTTTTAGCCTTACAGTTCTGGAGAAATTATTAGCACAACTTTTCATTTTCCTTATAAAGAGCAGTTATGTGTTTAAAAATGAAATTTATCATGCAGCAGCAGGAATTTCCATCCTTGTTCACTGTCATATTGATTATGAAAAATAACCACTATGAGATGAATGGATTTTAGAATAGGGGTTTAGACAAGTGACCATCATTCATACTGTTAAGACTTATATGACTAAACTCAACCCGATGCTCAGGAAATTTTTTTTTTTTTTTGGAAAGGTGAAATTTTATTTCTAACAACAGCAAGAGATTTTTAATAGAAGGAATCCAGTGCTTTGGATTTCAGCTCATTGTTTCATCACGTGGAGAAAAAGATTTGAAGTGATTGGGTGTAGGGAGTGCCTGTACATTTAATATATATCTTGATCAGCACATTAATCAGTGAGTTTATAAAGCTGCATAGAAAGACATTTGCCCAGGAAAATCAACTTTGACAGTTAGTTGAGTGACTAAAGGAGCCATTTAAGGTAAAGCCAGACATCAGTTATGGCCAGTGAGCTAAAATGATAGAAACAAGAATTGGCTAAAATAGAGAGGACAGAATACTACGCCTTGTATTACACAATAGGAAAATGAAACATGCTTAACTTCAGATTACAAGGGCTGTTACTAGAAATATACATCAGCACATATAAAGAATAACTTGTCATAATTATATTTGGAAATTTCTACTGTTTAATAAGCTGAAAATCAAAAGGCAAGTTGCTAGCTAGTTTCTTTAAGAATGAAAAAGTGTATATATAACAGATGGCTTTGAAAAATGAAACATGCAATCAGAGGATGCCATAAAGCAATCATTTCTCTTCAATAGCTTCCTTAATGTAACAGAATGGGATATACTGAGTACTTAAAAAAAATCTGATAAACATAAAACAAAGAAGTCTGGAATTTAAAATATGGAAGAAGAGAAGTAAGTTGTCATTTAGGACTTCTCTGGTATAGCTAAATGAAATTTTTATACAAGGACCAACATTTTGATTAACTTGATAGTTTAATGAAAATGCTTTGATATGAGAAATTTTGGATAATTTTCCTTTTTTAAAAAAAATTCATTCAGTTGAGTTCTGGTATTATTAACATTTGGTATTATTAACATTTACAATTGTACCTCAACTGATATTTTCTTTTACTAGTATTTAAAACCCCCACGTGTCTGTCAATTTGTCATACTCTGGAGGCTTTCATGTTGCTGTGATGCTGGAAGCTCTGCCACTGGTATTCAAATACCAGTAGGGCCACCCATGGTGGACAGGTTTCAGCTGAGCTTCCAGACTGAGACGGACTAGGAAGAATGACCCGGCAGCCTACTTCTGAAAAGATTTAGCCAGTGAAAACTCTATGAATAGCAGTGGAACGTTGTCTAATATAGTGCCGGAAGATGAGCCTCTGGAGTCGGAAGGCACTCAAAAGACCACTGGGGAAGAGCTGCCTCTTCAAAGTAGAGTCAACCTTAATGATGTAGATGGAGTCAAGCTTTCAGGACCTTCATTTGCTGATGTGGCATGACTCAAAATGAGAAGAAACAGCTGCAAACATCCATTAATAATTGGAACGTGGAATGTACGAAGTATGTATCTAGGAAAATTGGAGGTCATCAAAAATGAAATGGAATGCATAAACATTGATGTCCTCGGCATTAGTGAGCTGAAATGGACTAGTATTGGCCATTTTGAATTGGAAAATCATCTGGTCAACTATGCAGGGAATGACAACTTGAAGAGGAATGACTTTGCATTCATAGCCAAAAAGATTTATCCCAAAGTTCAACACAGTCAGTGATAGGATAATATCCATGAGCCTACAAGGAAGACCAGTTAATATGACTATTATTTAAATTTATGCATCAACCACTAAGGTCAAAGATGAAGAAACTGAAGATTTTTACCAACTTCTGCGGTCTGAAATTGATCTAACATGCAATTAGGATGCATTGATAATTACTGGAGATTGGAATTTGAAAGTTGGAAACAAAGAAGAAGGATCGGTAATTGGAAAATATGGCCTTGGTGATAGAAATGATGCTGGAGATCGAATGATAGAATTTTGCAAGACCAACGACTTCTTCATTGCAAATACCTTTTTTCACCAACATAAACGGCAACTCTACACATGGACCTCGCCAGGTGGAATACACAGGAATCAAATTGATTACATCTGTGGGAAGAGATGTTGGAAAAGGTCAATATCATCAGTCAGAACAAGGCCAGGGGCCAACTGTGGAACAGACCAAGTTCAAGATGAAACCGAAGAAAATTAGAACAAGTCCACGAGAGCCAAAGTATGACCTTGACTATATCCCTCCCTAATTTAGAGAACATCTCAAAAATAGATTTGATGAATTGCACACTAAGGACCAAAGACCAGAGTTATGAAATGACATCAGAGACTTCATGCATGAAGAAAGCAAGAGGTCACTAAAAAGACAGGAAAGAAAAAAAAGACCAAAATGGATGTCAGAAGAAAATTGCTCTTGAACATTGAGTAGCTAAAGCAAAAGGAAGAAATGATTAAGTAAAAGAGTTGAACAGAAAATTTCAAAGGGCAACTGGCGAAGACAGAGTAAAGTATTACAATTGCATGTGCAAAGAGCTGGAGATAGAAAATCAAAAGGAAAGAACGCGCTTGGCATTTCTCAGGCTGAAACAACTGAAGAAAACAATTCAAGCCTCGAGTTGCAGTATTGAAGAATTCTATGGGGAAAATATTAAACAACTCAGGAAGCACCGAAAGAAGATGGAAGGAATACACAGAGTCACTATACCAAAAAGAATTGGTTGACGTTCAACCATTTCAAGAGGTACTGTATGACCAGGAACCAATGGTACTGAAGGAAGAAGTCCAAGCTGCACTGAAGGCATTGGCGAAAAACAAGTCTCCAGGAACTGACAGAATACCAATTGAGATGTTTCAACAAATGGATGCAGTGCTGGAAGTGCTCACTCGTCTATGCCAAGAAATTTGGAAGATAGTTACCTGGCCAGCCGACTGGAAGGGATCTATATTTATGTGTATTCCCAAGAAAGGTGATCCCACCGAATGTGGAAATTATTGAACAATATCATTAATATCACACACAAGTAAAATTTTGCTGAAGACCATTCAAAAGTGGCTGCAGCAGTGTAGTGACAGGTGACTGCCAGAAATTCAAGCCGGATTCAGAAGAGGACATGGAACCAGGGATATCACTGCTGATGTCAGATGGATCCTGGCTGAAAGCAGAGAATACTAGAAAGATGTTTACCTGTTTTTTATTAACTATGCAAAGGCATTAGACTGTGTGGATCATAATAATATGGATAACACTGTGAAGAATGAGAATTCCAGAACACTTAATTGTGCTCATGAGGAACCTGTACATAGATCAAGAGGCAGTCTTTCGAACAGAGGAAGAGGATACTGCATGGTTTACAGTCAGGAAATGTGTGCATCTGGCTTGTATCCTTTCATCATACCTATTCAGTCTGTATTCTGAGCAAATAATCCAAGAAGCTGGACTATATGAAGAAGAATGGGGCATCAGGATTGGAGGAAGACTCATTAATAACCTACGTTATGCAGATTACACAACCTTGTTTGCTGAAAGTGAAGAGGACTTGAAGCACGTACTGATGCAGTATGGATTACACCTCATGTAAAGAAAACAAACATCCTCTGGACCCATAAGCAACATCATGATAAATGGAGAGAAGATTGATGTTGTCAAGAATTTTATTTTTCTTGGATCCACAATCAACACCCATGGAAGCAGCAGTCAAGAAATCAAAAGCCACATTGCATTGGACAAATCTCCTGCAAAAGACCTCTTGAAAGTTTTGAAAAGCAAAGATGTCACCTTGAAGACTAAGGTGCACCTGACCCAAGCCATGGTGTTTTCAGTCACCTCCTATGCATGTGAAGGCTGAACAATGAATAAAGAAGACTGAAGAAGAATTGATGCCTTTGAATTGTGGTGTTGGCGAAGAATATTGAATATACCGTGGACTGCCAAAAGAACGAACAACCAGAATGCTCTTTAGAAAAGCTGGAATGCTCCTTAGAAGCAAAGATGGGGAGACTACGTCTCAGATACTTTGGACTTATTGTCAGGAGGGATCAGTCCCTGGAGAAGGACATCATGCTTGGTGGAGTGGAAGGTCAGCAAAAAAAGGAAGACCCTCAATAAGATGGATTGACACAGTGGCTGCAACAATGGGCTTAAGCATAACAATGATTCTGAGAATGGCTCAGGACAGGGCAGTGTTTCGTTCTGTAGTATATAGGTTGCTGTGAGTCAGAACCAACTCGATGGTACCTAACAACAACAAGAGCATTTAAAAATAAGAATAATTTAAATAAATTTAGAAAGATATATAAAGACAAGCTAGTTTACAACAATAACATTCCACAAAAAAAAAATGCACAAAAACAACAAATAAAGCTCTCAGAATCCATTGTTTATGCATGGTTTAGATGTGACTTTGGTTCAAGCATTGAATTTCAGCAGGACCTTAATTTAAGAGACTTTAAATCACAGAGCCATATTTGGTTTAAAAAGACAAAGGGAGGGTGATTTGTCTTTTTCTTCCTGATTTCTGGACATCCTTTTTTCTCTCTCTCTCTTTCCTCACTTTCTTCCTTCATTTCTTAAATTTGGTATGAAGAAATAATAGGATCTTCACAATTCTAAATTTAGTGCCAGTTGTAATGGAAGGAAGTTAGAAGAGCTTAGTTGAAATGAAATCTCTTACTGAGCTACAGAGAATTAGGTATCTGTATATTTTGCTTCATTGCGAATATAATACTTGAATCTATGGGTGGCGCAAATGGTTAAGCTCTCAACTATTAACTGAAAGGTTGGCAGTAGGAACCCACCTGGATTCTCCTCAGGGTACAGGCGTACTGACAATCTGCTTCCACAAAGTCACAGCCTTGAAAACCTTATGGAGCGTTTCTGCTCTGTACACATGGGGTCGTCATGAGTCGGAATTGATTTGATGGCAGCTAACAATAACAGCATACTAATATAATTGTTCTCTAAAAGGGAACCATATATTCAAATACTAGTTTTTCTTATTCATGTAATCATATGCCACCTGTGTTTTATAATGTCATCAGAGATAACAGTATCTTCCAATGGTGTGCATTCATTGCTGAAAATGTATTTAAAATGGACTACTGAAAGTTAAATAGATTTGTGTTTAAGAAGAGTTATAGAGATAGTATTCTATGAAAGCCACCAAGTACTGTAAAATCTCTAAACATAGTTTCTGGTGTGGCTGCCTCTTCAGGCCTAGGCTACATAATGAGAAGAAAGAAAAAATCCTCTCAGGTGCTCAGGGGCTCCATTACACTGGGCCCCCCAACTCCAATCCAGTCCCACTGTCTCTCTGAGAGCCTGGAAAGTGAAACCCCTTCCCCAGCTGCTTCACAACAGACCAAATGCCACATCAGAGAGCCTCCAGGCCAGAATCCAGGGACAATGCTGAGGAATGAAGGGGTGCTGGATGGCTCTCTCTATCCCAGAATGAGAGGACCTCCTCTGAGGTGTTTCTGACCGCCCTCAGAGGCTCCCCACCAGCCTTCTACCTGTGACCCAGTTCTGCCTGTGCTCTGTCTGCTGGAAGCTGTGGGAACAGTTACAGGATTTGAGGGGAGCTTGGGAGGGGCCCCCAAGGCAACTCACACTGCTTGACAGAGGCCTTGTGTCATCGTAAGGGTCTACTTACGTCAATCCCCAGCTTCTGTACTAAAAATACATACTTCTTTAAAGTTCATGTACCTTTAGAGAGTTAGCTAATTCAGTCTCCAAATTTCCAGTTAAAGAAAATAGAGAATGTAAGAATGTTAAATGACTTCCCCCTGGTCACACAGTACGTTGGCAAGTATGGAACTGGAATTTGTTGTGAAAAATTAACTTTTGTGGGTATCATAAATTCTTAGAGTTATAAGGCTAACTTCTCAGAGAAAACAACTATAAATCCAGCATGCATGGATGAGAGTTAAGATTAAGGACCCTGCTGTTGCAGCTTATGTTTCTCTTATTTGGCTTTTTTTATTTCCAAGGTGAGAGGACTTTCAAATGTCATCACTGTGATGCCACCTTTAAAAGGAAGGATACCTTAAACGTTCATGTCCAGGTGGTCCATGAAAGACACAAGAAATACAGGTGTGAGCTATGTAATAAGGCATTTGTTACACCATCAGTGCTTAGAAGTCATAAGAAGGTAAGTAGAGCCTACTCTTAGTTTGGATGGGTTATTATATTAAAACAATATGATCATATATGTTAACTATCATATGATGATCAATTTCATATTAATCAACATATTTACCCCAAATGACAAAAAAGGAATGCATGAGTTATATTAACTCTTCAGAAAATTTCATTTTTCTTTATTTTTTAGAATCAACATATTTTTCTCATAAAGAAGAACCTCAGAATTAGATATAGATTCTGCATAGTGCTTAGCTATGCTAATAGTTGGACAATACAAAATACTAGATGAGTGGGAGCTTATCTGTTTTAGTACATTTTTGAATTAATTTAGTAGGTCTTTTTTTTTTTTAATGTAAGTGTTGATTTGATAATTTTATTTTTCAGTGCTATTCCAGTGTTTATTGATGAGTTATTAGACTGAGCTCTTCAAGGGTTGGAATGATCCCTCTTCATCTTTGTATTCCTAGGGCCTAGGGAAGTTTCTGGTATAGAACAGGGACTGGGTAAATACTGGCTCAGTTCAAAATAATGAAGTTCTGGCATGTTACAATTTGGGAAATATCTTTGTTATGTTATGCTAATTGGATAATTACCTGAAGCAAATCAATAGTTTTTTTTTTTCTATTTGCCAAGTAAGTATGTTTTAAGTATATTTTTAAAGTAACAGAATTCCTATTGTAACACACACACTTAGATTATTTACTACTGACTTTAGAAATGACTATGAAGAGTGGTCGTTTTCAGCTAGTTAGTTTGAGCTTCAGAGGAAATGTAAAGAAATGACTCCCACCTCAATGTGACTTTTATGTTGTATCTATCTTTAATATAGTTGTTTCCAAAGGACTGAATTCAGTAACTTTTTCTGTGTCTTTAATGATAAGTAGTAATTTTATTGTCTCCCTTTAAAAAGTCTCTTAATAGAATATTATTTCAACTTTTTTTTTGTTTTAATTCAGTTTTTTGCCTGCATGTAATATGTTTTTGGTGTGTTTTAATACGTGAGGGAAAAGTAGAGTGAGTTTCTCAGTGAGATTTTGGTCGTTTGTCTCCAAGAACAGATTGTCACAGAGTATTTTTGCAGTGCATTGTTCAGTTTTTTTTAAGACATTTATCTAATATTGTTCTTGTAATGAACTCTGTTAACAAAATATAGAAATTATCTATATTTAAGCTATGGTAATTATTGTATTATGCTATTGTACCTTCCTTGTCTCCTAAAACCACCTAACCAAGTTCTGAACCTAAAAATAAACTTTATTTTTTAATTAAACCAAAGAAACATTTTAATTCTTTTCATAAATATAGCAGTAATATCTTTTAGGTTGAAACCTTTACCTTCACTTCCTTCAACAAGTAACTTAGGTCATATATGTGAGCAGTGAAATACTGTGTATCAGCAAAAGAAATCTTGTGGATTTTATTAAGATATTAAAAATAAGCTGGTAGTTGCCTGTTTGGAATAATCTAGTGTTGTAATAATAGAAATATTAAGTTTCTGGACGATCTTACACTCATCAAGAAAGATTTGCCGAGCGAGTTCCGGCAAAATGGCGCTCTAGGCAGAAGCACCACGC